AATTATGGGGAGACTGTGGGAGAAATTTGTAAGGATGAGATGCCGTTTTTTTTTTCTAAAACTAATAATGTTAACATGAAACCGTTTCTATATTCATCGTTAGATTCAATTGCTTACCCTTTTATGTTCCCAACCGGAGACTTTATTTGGGGCCCCTAATTTAAACCAACTAAAACAGAAAATATCAAAAAGAAAAAGAAGAAATAGTTATAAAAAAGTTAAAGGAAAATTTTAACAAGCTTACAACAAGTTAACAAGTTCAAATTCTTTTAGCGAATTACCTATATAGGGAATAAGCTATTACTGTAGGTCTCATGGTAAGACCTCAACCCGGGAACGATTTACTTTTTCATTTTGGGGTCCTCCATAGGCCAAAAATACCCTCCGTTCAAATTCATATATATATACATATGTATGTAGGCCTATATGTCCGTTAGCGCGTTAACTCGAGCAAAAATGAACCGATTTTGATCAAATTTGGTACTAATGTATAAACCTACGGTTATTCAAAATAATTTGAACAGACTATGGGAACGAGGGTTTATGGGGGGTTTTATAGGGTAAAAATTGGGTTTTCTGATTTTTGACTCTAAAAACACAAAACTTACGATTTCTTTCCAAACCATTTTGTATAGCTTAAAAAATAAATAATTTTGTATATTGAAGCGTTGTTGTATGCCTATCGGTTACGGAGAAAATAGAAAAATATTGTAAATTAACAATTTCTATGTTATTCTCATGGAGAAAAACTGTTGTAGGCTAGTTTGCTTGTAGGCTATATAAATATATTTTTGTCAAATTTGACAATTTTGTTTGTTTCATTCTAGTTTAAGAACATTTCAATTGAAAAAAAAAAACACTTCAATACCTTCCTTGTAGCAGCAAACCTAAGTACAGTACTCATTATAATCAATGTTACCTATTTAAATAGGAAATAAATCTGACAATTTTAAGGGAATGCAGTAGAGTCCCGAAAACTTGACGTAAGGAAGGGTGTAGAGTTTGTGAAATGTCGGGTTATTGGGAACTAGGGTTATAAATGAGAACAATACAATTTGTAATCCTTTTAGCTGCCTTATTTATTTATATTTATATTACAAGTACTAAGTCATCAGATATCTATACTATTATAAAAAAGAGGTGGTTGCTGTACGTGTGTATGTGTGTATGTGTGTATGGGAAAAGTAAACTCGAAAAATACTGGTCGGATTGGGCTGAAATTTGGCATGATGATAGCTCACATTCCCGATTAACATATAGGCACATTCTTATTTCAAAAATCCTTTCAGGCTCCGCCCCAGTGGCTCTGGAGATTCCCATGTTAGGCTAGGATTATACTAGGACGCTGGCGTCCGGGATGCTGGCGTCCGAGAGGCTAGCGTCCCACCTCGAGCCGAAAAATGACGTGATTTGTGTTGGGATGCTAGCCTCTCGGACTGCCATTTTATTTCAATGTTTAGTCCCTTTTTTTACATTAAATAACATTAGGTTTAACGAGTACTAAGGTTTTATGATTTAAGGGGGCTAATAAAGTGTGTTTTTTAGTAAAATACTGTATTATTAGCTTAGTATAAAACAAATTGGCCAAGTTTAATCGAAATATATCCATACACAATCAAATTCCAACACTTAACAACATTTTCTATAAGAATAACATGGCAATTTTAATATACTCTTTTTTTAATTTTCTCCATAACTAATAACAGTACAAAAACACTTAAATATAGGTACTAAATTATTTGTTTTTAAGCTCATTAAAATTATCTAGAGAGAAATTGTGATTTTTTTTAGTTTTATGGGTCAAAAATGACACACCCCCCTTTTTAGCACATAAACCCCGTTCCCAAGGTATGTTCATGCTGGTTCGCGAACTCATTCAAATTTATCCCACCCTTCACCTTAAAACCAAACTTCTTCAAGATAGAACAAAAGTTACTCCAGTTGTTTACAGACATATATATATAATATTTAAATCTATACGAACGGATGGTGTTTTTGGCCTCTGGGGACATCAAAATGAAAAAGTAAATCGGTCCCGGGCCTAGATTTTACCATGCCACTTACGGTAATAATTTCGAGCTTTCGGTGGTTTTTTTTAGCATCCGACGCTAGCATCCATAGTATAATCGCCCCCATTTGATTTAATGCCCCGCTAGCGTCCCGGACGCTGGCCTCTCGGACGCCAGCGTCCTAGTATAATCCTAGCCTTAACCTTATGAGAAATGGAATTATTGAATCTTAACAGCTGTTTCAATTAAACAAGTTGGTTCTGTTCTATGATGTTCAATAGCATTAAAGTTAGAAGGATTACCAACAGGGTGCAGCACTATTATTTCTTTTACATTTATGACAACAGCTAATTTGCAACCAAAAGGTGAGTGAGCGTAGCGAACGAACTTCAACCTGGAGGCGAGTTAGCGTAGCGAACGAGCTAACCTGAAGGCAAGTGAGCGCAGCGAATGAGCTCCAACCTAAAGGTGAGTGAGCGTAGCGAACGAGCTCCAACCTAACGGTGAGTGAGCGTAGCGAACAAACTTCAACCAGGACGTGATTGAGCCATGCGAACGAGATAATCTTGAAAATTAAGAAGTTAAACGGGGCAAAGCCCGCGGGTTACAGCTAGTAGTACAATAAAAATCCTTGGTACAAGTTGGGAATGATTTAACTTGAGCCCATGCTCATACTCAAAAATCACTAATTTTCTGAGCCAGGTGATAGCCGAGTTATCCAGACTGCCGGGCTATCGATTGCCGAGTTTGCGAGACTCTACTGTACTTAAATAGAAATCCAGCCCAGTAAATATAAATTTGCTTAGTCTGCAGGGTTGCTGTGGCGGGGGTATTTGATATCCATAACATAAAAAAACTTTTTGTAAATCATTACTTGGCCTCTATTAATCTAGGTAACTACAGTTGGCTCTCAATAATCGGACATTTACTTAAATAGGCCCATTAGAATGTCAGTTTGCCAAAAATGTTTGACTACCAATGTGTGGTGATTTTCCCAATTTCATGGCGATCGTAGGTGGCAATGGTTTCATGATCACAGGATATGTTAACGATTTCGCCGTGATCGTAGGTTAACTGAGGTTAGTTTGACCTAGGTCCGCAAGTACTCTAATTACGGCACTGTTATTAGTAATGATTTCTGGATACACGAATAAGCTAGAGTACTGTGTATAAAAATGCTTATGTAGGCTACGTCTAAAACGTGCAAAGGTCTACCAGACCAGTCCAAGTAGATGACAGAGAAGTGTTGATGAACGAGTCTATTTGTGGGTCTCCTTAATCCTGAACATTGGACGCGCCATTTTACTTTGCTTCGACCACGTACTATGCTTACTACTCAAACCGGCCCTGCAAAATATTCCCGAGTTTATACTCATAAAGTATTTAGTATTAACTAATTAGTGTCCATCAGTGGCATCACCGCCATGTCGGATTATCAAGGGTAAATTGTTTTGAACCCCCGTAAAAAGTCTTCTTCTAAGTTAAAGGACAAAGTAGAAACGACCTTATGAGAAAAAACTGAATCAAACACATTAACACTTGCTTATATCATAACAATTATAGTGAAAACTCTGTGGTATCACATTGTAAAATCATGTTTCAGGTGTTGTTGCAGCGTCTCACGGAGACAATGTCACATACAAGGCATTTGAAACCAAGATTAAAGAATGGTTCCGGCAGGCAGGCTCGAAGATTAAATTTTCAAATGTAAAGCTGTACTTGATTTATTAAGATTACATTTTTAATTGTAAAGCTGTACTTTGTACTTATTGCCTACTGTTCTGATTTTAGTTTTGTTGGGTACAAATGCAATTCTAGTATTTACTAATTATATGATATTATGTTAATAATTCTAGAATTATTAGTTTTCCTTTTGATTAATGAGAATTTGTTTCCTATAAAATAACACATTTTTTATGCATTCAAACAAATACTAATACACCATGAATGAGTTAAGACGGTTTAAAAAAATAAATTACAACTTACCACATTTTTCATAGTACTACCGTACTGACCATAGTTTATTGCCTAAAGAGTCACCCTTAAAAGTGCCTCAAGTTTTTAGGATGAGTAATATTTTTATAATAATTGACTTTAGCTGAGAACTAATCCATCTTTCTTATGTTGATTACTGACAGAACATTTATTATTATGTTTATTTAGGTGCTCAACATAATTGGAGAAATTGATTCTTAATACAATTTAATTAATTAGATTCAGATATTTTTTGCATTACTGTACATAATTAAGATGATTTACATAAATAATACTTAAATTTACATATTATTGCTTTAGTTTAGCTTGTACAAAATTTACATTCCATATACATATATCATTGACGTATTATTTTTGTATATGGTTTACGTAAATTGACGTATTAGTAATACGTATTATTTACAAAATAAAGTGGGACGTATAGATGTAAAATAGATGTATTCAATATCAATTCAATACGTATAATTTATTTTGGATTTACTTTGGCTCAAAGTAAATAATACATATTATATACTTCTGTGTGCTGACTGGGATAGCTTTATAAATAATTTTGTAGTAGCAGATTTACGAAAAGCCGATGACATTGGCACTTGGGTTTTTTCGCATACATACATAGTGCCGATAACATCGGCACCGGGGCTTTTTCGATCGTAACGGCAGTGCAGATGTGATCGGCACTCGGGTCTTTTCAGATAAAACTGAAGTGCCGATGTGATCGGCACTTGGGACCCAAAGGGTTAAAACCCATATTGGTTTAACAGAGCAATAAAATCTTGTTTTTGATTTGGATGGCTACAGTCCTCCAACAAATCAATGTTAAAATCCTCAGCTATGTATACATTTCTTATTTTTTACCTAAACTAGGAATGAGAGTGGGTCATTCAATGTGATATAGAACGACCTGTTTCCTGTGCTGGTGTAGACTATTTCCCACCCAAAAAATAAAATGTATTTTGTTATTTGCTATTGACTCCAACATTATGTCTGATCACTGACCCATCGGGTTTGAGGAGGTGATGCCGAACCTCCAGTAGACAGAGCCGTTCCTTCCTACGGCCCACATCTGGTTGTTGGGGCCGCAGCTGACACTACACAGCGGCTGGTCACATGACACATGTTCCCACGACTCTCCCTGCACACAGAATAATTACACTGACTGCAGCAAAAGGTCCCATTAAACTAGTTGCATTATACACTATTTTTAAATATAAAAATACACATAACCCTCAGGATGGCTCAGTAATTAATGTAGGTTGTTGATTTTACTAAATTGTTAGAAAAAAGTAAAAATAAAGGATCAGGTCACATAAAACCGAGGTTCAGTTTATCGGTTGTTGTACAAATGGAGTAGTTGGTTAGGCCGGGGCCACACTTGTAATTTTTAACCAGCGAGACTGTTTTTCCGTTTTCACGTGCGACGCACGTGGAACAGTTTGACTGTGGCCACACTTGTCTTACGAGATAGGTCTTTTGGGCAAACCAGTAAGACTGATAGAGCATGCCACACTGGCAATAAAAATTGTCCGTGTCCGTGTTCCGGCTTACCCCTCTCCACGCTCACTGTACAGTAAATCAGTCAGGTTAAAACTAGAAACGTCCGCGGAAAAAATTCAGCGAGATAAGATGAGTGTGTTCACTCCCATAACGCAATGCCCCGCGACTAGTTTTACGTGCAACGCCCGTGGAATGTTAGTAGAGAATACACGTCCAATTCCGTTTGTCAAACGCGTTCACGGACGTTTTTACTCTAGTGTGGCCTGCCCGATATACCGTAATGTATCTCTCAAACCCACGGGTAACGCCTGTGGAAAGAATTCAGCGAGATAAGATGAGTGTGGCCCCGGCCTTAGGAAGCACAAAAAAGGTTTATCAGATGATTGATTGGACCTTCGTTTATTTATAGCGATGAAATTACAATCTCATTAATATTATCATGACAACAAACACTGTGACGTTTCAAGCAGGCCAAGTGCTAATATTCATCATCATATTTATTTAAACGTGACAGGGTTTTTTTATTTAACTATTCTGAATCAACCACTTGACGTATTTTTCTAATTTTTGTGTTGTGTTGTAAGAAAGATTATTTTGAGAACTAGGGAATGTCGAAGCCATAATTTTAGTTTAGGGTTTTAGTTTTTAAGAAATCAAGTTTTAATTTTAGCGAATTTCTCTAAACAAAAAAAGTTAACAGGCAGTTAACTTAGTTTAACAAATTTCTAGAGCCCCTTTTCTTCCTAGATTAGTAGCATATGTTAAATTTATTGGTTTAACAGTGAATCATTTCAACAAATAGGCCTATATATAACACTTCTGGTATGGTATATATTGTTTTGATTTGTATGTGTTTGGTTGTCAAAGTGTTGTTTGTACAAATAGGCCTGTTTTCTTTTATAACCCTTAATATAACCAACCTACACTAATGAAAAAAATACCGTAGTTTAAAAAATTGAAATAGGGACATATTTTTTTTAATAAAACAATTAACTTAAGTAGCCTAATTTAAATTGAGGTACTGATAACCGAGAATCGATTTTATTTAGGAACTGGTACCGGAACCGACATTGAAAAGGTGGAACCCATCACTTATTTGTAATATGTAGCAAATTTTGTGGAATAAATCAATCATTAATGCATTTCCAAGCAAAATCTTCAGACAAAAATTAATACTGTGTATTGTTTCCCTGAAATCTTTCAGAATAACACAGCTATCTTTGCAGGTAGAAAGGAACTGATGCGGTTTACATATACTTGTTGGGTACAGTTCTAGTATCTGAATTTCTAACAATCAAGGACTTCTTGCAAACATTTCAGTGAACAAATCAAGGTACACAACAAGCAACTTGTTATGAGTTAAATATTAGTCACTAAACTGTTGAAGTTTAAATAAGCCATCTTCACTGGTTCACATGTGAAATCATCAACATGAAAAATTGACTTTCATTTACAATTCTGCAAAGAATAAAAGTTGTAGTGACATCATCTTAAGTGACAGTAATTAGTAACAGGTATATTTACAATTGGGTTATCCAGAGAAACTCCTTTTCTATAAAGTGCGTCACCGTTAGCTCCAACTCCCCACACTGCCACACTGTTGCTGGCTGCCAAGCTCTACATGCAACAAAATACGTGTTCAAAAAGTCACCAGGGTATTGTAATATACTTAGTCTAATACTCTATGGCAATCATAGTTAAAAAAAGTTGAAATATGGTTTATGGGGGTGTGAAATTTAGTTTTCTCAAAAGTTCATGGGTATTTTGGGATTTATATATGGATATGAAGAACTGTATCCAAACAAACATCGTCAGCTTATCTGAGAGAATATTTTGTGTTATGACCAATGGTATCTATACTAAGATATTAAACTATTTTACATTGTTTGCTAATATATAATACAAGATGAAATGAAATGAAAATGAAATGAAAAATCATTTATTTACACAGGCAAAGTTAGGGCCACATGGCCCTTTCTTACACTTAACCTGTACTTTAAAACATAATATAAATATTTTAACATAATCAGCTTATACAATAAAACAAAACAGAAATCATAGGGCGCGTTCTGGGAACATGTACCGGTGTACCGGTGCAGATTAACCGGTGACTTACTCACCGGTACCGCCCTGGGGCAAGAGTCTTGGTATCCCAGAACGGTTATTCACCGGTTTACGGTACACATCGGATTATAATTTACACATTCACCTATTATTTACTTTATAATATTTAAACCAAACAAACTTGTCCTCACAGAATAAATTATTAAAAAATTATTCACTTAATACGTAATTTAACCCCCTCATAGAATAAATTATTCACTCATTACGCAACATAACCTATAAAACTGATGAACATTATTCGATGGACCCGCCATCTTGCCGTCTGCATGCTGTTGTCCAAGAAACAGACCAATCAGAGGCCGCCTGTGTATTATGCACCGTACAATTTCTCCGGTGCATAAATCTTGCACCGGTGGAGGAAAAAGAGGAAATAGCTGTCTGCTAGGTTAACTCACCGGTCTCCCGGAACGACACATTTTTTGCACCGGGGCAACACCGGTGCACCGGTGCATGTTCCCAGAACGCGCTCATCGATACAGAAACTTTGATCTAAAATCAGTAAATTTTAAAAATACTTATTCACATACACTCACACATACATACATACAAGTCAGCGACCGCCATGCGCACAGGCCCCTACGACAAACCTACCATGGCCATACATTCAAAATAGAGATTTTTTAGTGCTGCCACAAACCGAGAACGACTATCGAGGGATTTAATAGCTTAAGGGAGATCGTTCCAAAGACAACAAGCAGTTACAACAAACGCTCCGTCGTAAACTGCGGTCCTATGGTGAGGCATACGCAAAGTTAATGATGCATGGCGTGAGTATCTGACACTTTCTTCAGCTACAAACCTAAAATCATCTACAAAATATGTTGGAAAATTGTTTTTTAATATTGAATAGGTTAGCAAAAGAATTTTGATTGATCTCAGGTCACATAGCTTTAATAACTTAGAATGAATGAAGAAAGGGGTGATGCGCTCACTGCGTCTTAGATCATAAATGAATCTTAGGCAGTAGTTCTGAGCGCGTTGGAGAGCATCAGCGAGGTTTACAGTCATGTCATTGATCACAGAGCTGCAGTAAGTGAAGTGGGGAAAAACAAGTGATTTAACCAGGTGTAGCTTTATGTGCAAAGGCAAGAAATTCTGTAAATTTTTAAGTGAGTGGATTGATGCAAAAACATTTTTATGGATGTCTACTACCGCATCGCCCCAAGTAAGTGTCGAGTTGATAGTATGCCCTAAGTTTTTGACCTTGTCACTGTAAAGCAAATTTGTTCCATTTATAGTTATTGGATTCGTCGTCAGAAAGTCAATAGAGTTCCGTAAACGTGGATGACAAATTATGATCGGTTTAGTTTTTTCGTGGTTAAGTCTGAGTCCGTGTTTATTAGTCCAAGTAATGATTTTCTCAATATCTTCGTTCACTCTCAGAACACTTTCGTTAATCTGTTTGATGTAGATTTTTGTGGGCTTCACTCACCTTTATTTTTGTTCGTGATGTCCGGGACTCGTCAAAACACATAACACACATATATACAACACAAAAATCGTCCACGGCATCAAGGTCCGACGTTTCGCGGAACTCAAAACAACGTTCCGCTTCTTCAGGGTATTAAAAACTATTTTTAGCCCGCACGCGGGTCGAACGCCTAACCACGACTGCCGGATCAGCTGAGCTTAACAAAATACACCATTTTAAACCTAGCAATAGTACTATATTGGTTAGCTTTGATGTAACCAACTTGTTTCCTAACGTTCCCATTGAACCATGCCTGGCGATAGTACGTGAAAAACTTGAAAATGACCTGATGCTGGAAGGTAGAACCAAAATTCCTGTGTCTAATATAATGGAACTGTTGACAGTCTGCGTTAGGTCAAACTACTTTCTAGTAGAGAATAAATATTATGAACAAACTACAGGAATGGCAATGGGCGGCGTTTTAAGCCCGATCCTATCTAATATTTTCATGGAAAAGTTTGAACAGGACGCAATTGAATCATTTGAAACTAAGCCTAGAGTCTGGTTACGGTATGTTGATGATGTTTTCTGTATTTGGGAAGATTCAATGTCAGAACTATTAAAATTTAAAGAACACCTTAACAGTCAGGTTGAATCCATACAATTTACTATTGAACTGGAAAAAGATGATAAATTACCGTTTTTAGACGTATTGGTCCAGAAACAGTCACAAGGTTGGATCACTAGTGTGTTCAGGAAACCTACTGCTACAGGCTAATACCTCAACTTTGCCTCCAATCACCCCACACACGTTAAGACAGGTCTAGCCATTGGTTTGATTAAACGGGCCGAATCCATCTGTAGTACTGAGGAAATTTTTAAAACAGAGCTGGAAAACATAAAAACACATCTCCAAAACTGTGGATACCCTCCCTTCGTTTTTGCTAAGGCCTTAAAAAGCTTAAATAGGGTAAACATTCCAGAAGACCCTAGCACCAAGATAAAACCCCTGACCACTGTATGTATTCCATACGTTAAAAATGTTTCGGAAAAATTGAGACGGGTGAATTCCAAATACAATATAAGAACTGTCTTCAAAAATAAATATACTATCCGTAGTCGTGTCACAAAACTAAGACCCGTTAATGAGCAACAAAATACAAAAGACATTGTCTACAAAATCCCGTGTTCTTGTGGCAGAAATTATGTGGGCCAAACTTCTAGACCAGTTAAAGTTTGAATAAATGAACACATAAAAAAAGTCAAAAACAAGGATAAGTATGGCTCTAAGATATGTGAACACGTTGTAGAAACGAATCATATTGTTGATTGGGGTTCGTCTGCAATTCTATACAAGGAGTCTGATTGGAGGAAACGAAATACGGCAGAGTCGCTTTTCATGGCAATAGAAGACGAGCCACTCTCACGACCATCGGTGGATGTCAGTACGGTGTACTTAAACATTGTTAAAAACGAACTAGAACAACTACGAGATAAGGCCAGGAGCGTGAATGGCTTATCAACAATGGACAATGCACCTACCCCCGCCCCCGCCCGTCCTCCTCCAAGCTCAGCTGATCCGGCAGTCGTGGTTAGGCGTTCGACCCGCGTGCGGGCTAAAAATAGTTTTTAATACCCTGAAGAAGCGGAACGTTGTTTTGAGTTCCGCGAAACGTCGGACCTTGATGCCGTGGACGATTTTTGTGTTGTATATATGTGTGTTATGTGTTTTGACGAGTCCCGGACATCACGAACAAAAATAAAGGTGAGTGAAGCCCACAAAAATCTACATCAATAATAACACCTCGCCTAAAAAGCATGTCGTTCAAAAAACATTAATCTGTTTGGGTGAAAAATGTGTATACATCTGTAAGTCGTCAGCATACATGTGGTATTTGCAGTGTGTGAGGACTGAGCTCAAGTCATTTATGTATAGTACGAACAGCAGAGGGCCAAGGATGGACCCCTGAGGCACACCACTAGTAACTGTCTCCCAGTCAGAACGTAAGTCATCAACCTCAACACACTGCCGCCTGTCTGACAGATAGGATCCCAGCCAGTCCAATACACCATTTGAAAACCCTATGGCCCTTAGCTTTTCCAAGAGGAGCTTATGATTTACACAGTCAAAGGCTTTAGAAAAATCAAAAAGGGTAAGAATCGTACCCTGCCGATGTTCCATTGCTAGTCTAATGTCCTCTGTCACACGTAAGAGTGCTGTTTCTGTACTGTGAGCTGTTCGAAAGCCAGACTGTGAGTTGCATAAGATATTGTTTTCAGTCAGAAACTCAGTTATTTGGCAGTGCACGATTCTTTCAAGGCCTTTAGATAATGCGGGCAATATACTGATCGGCCTGAAATCCTGGCAAGAAGCAGGTGCTGGAATCTTATTTAAGGGACGAATTAGGGCTTCCAAGAAATCGGGAATATGCTTTGACTTAGAGATGTGTTGAAAATGCAGGTGATAGTGGGGAGTATAGCAAAGAGAATGTCCTTAATAAAGCGAATTGGAATGCCATCAGATCCAATAGCATTACTGCGGATACGTCGAATAGATTTCAGAACATCAGACTGCAGTACAGGTTTGAAAGTGAACTTGGGGTATCCTGATTCTTGTACAGGGGAGTTTCTTAACTCCGTTATGTAACTTTCAACTTGTTGTTGATTGATGCTTTGACCAAAGGAAGAGAAGAAAGATTTTAATTCATTAAGAGGAATATTGACTCTCTGTGCGTCAGGTTGTTTCCCAAGCCCAAGACTTTTTTACGTTACGCCATAAAACTCTAGATGGTTGGTTATTATTTTCAAAAAGCATACAAATATATCGTAATTTTGAATTCCGCAAAAGTTGTTTAACTCTTTTTCGTAAATAACGATACTGTTCCATTTCTTCTTGATTCCGGGAACGTTTTGGTCTCCTGAAAAGATGACAGTCGCGTCTAGCCATCAAACTACATATTTCAGGGGTAATCCAAAGCACTGGTTGTTTTTTGGTCAAACGTTTTGAAACAATTGGAACATGTTTGTCAAACAGATTTATAATTTTGCTGTTTAGTTCATTTAACATTTCATCAAGAGATTGAGAATTTTCTATTAAGTGCCATGGCATTTTCTGAATATCTGGCATAAACTCAACTTCATTCATATTCTTAAAATCCCTATATTTTATAAATTTAGTCTTGGGTTTAGGTGCCTTAACTGAATACACACAAAATATGAGGTCATGCTTGGATACTGCTGGAACTGGAAGCTGCCCATGATGTACAATGTCTTCAACATCTGATACTACTATTAAGTCAAGAAGAGTGTCAGACTCGGCAGCATGATGTGTAGGGTCAAGTGGGAGTATGTTAAAGTTACATGAGTCGAACAATGTAGTCAGTTGTCTGTATTCATAGTTTTCATTGGTTGAAAGAAGGTTAATATTGAAGTCCCCCATGATCAAGACATGACTGTATCCAAACAAACGATTTAAGAGAGCGTTTTCAAAATATAATAGATTGCCTGCTCTAGGTGGACGATAACATACACATAACAACAAATTCTCAGCCCCAGATAGGCTAACTTCAATAATTAAAAATTCCTGTTTTGCCGAGTACTCAAAGTGTGAGCAATTTACCAGTTTAAAATTGATTCCCTCCCTGATATAAACTGCAACACCGCCACCCTGCTTGCCAGTTCTGTCATTGCACTGCAGAATATAACCAGGGAGGTTCACTTCCTGTGATGGAATACTCGGCTTCAACCACAACTCAGAAACTGCGATTAAATCAAAATCTTTGTATCTGAAAATCTCCCTCACCAATGTGCGCACGTAACGACTGAGCGTTGATGTGCGCCGCCTTTAGATGCTTGGGAAAAGGAGATAAGGAGCGAGAGAGATAGTCGGCGGTAGACAGTGGGTGTTGAGGGAGGGGTGAGGGGGGAGTGATAAGCCGGCCGGCGTGACGAGCACTAGGAGGACGTGGACTCGCTATCCCGGGTCCACGAGTCGCAGCGCCACGGCAGGCACATCACAGGCGCACACACACACACCGCGATCACTGACACATTCACACACACACACATACACTTACCAAAAGTAAAAACATACAACATAGTTTAAATTACAGAATTTTTTACACGTGCAACAATTTTGGCTCCGAAAAACATGGTGATGAAGTTGTTGAAATATTAAATTAGGTATCCAAAATGTGAGTAAATAGTGCAATATAATTAATATGTACGTAACGAAAGAAGATATGATTTTCCTTTAGTTTAACTAAACTTAATCAAACACTTATAAAAATAAAATATTTTGCATGTTTATTTAAACAGTTAAGACAAAAAATTAATACTAAAATTAAAAATAATTATAATTAAATTAAATAAATGACTTGATGTAACATAAATAAAGTACTGCTTAGTAATTATTTTCCTCAAACATAAATTAACTGATAAAAATATACATACATATACACATGCATATACACACTCACACATGCATAACACGCATGCATACACACACAAAATACACACATACATACACACAATGATACACAAGATTTGACTACCAAGAAAATTCTATTCAAGGTAACTATGGTAGAGTGTTTGTTGTCTGTTACGCAATCTACAAAGTACAAAGTAATTTATTAATAAAAGGGTTTGACATAACTAAATATAAAATAAAAGGGTAAAGTATGAGAATAATTACACATAAAATGATTGAATATATTTGTTTTTGAAGTAGTCTAGTTCTATTCTCTCTAAAGCTTGTGTTATAATGTTGCTGTCGGTAAATAGGATATAGCCTGTCAGTATTTTTTTCATTACTGTGGTATTTAGGGAATGTCGTAACCAAACATTAAAACTCTTTAAAACAATAAGAGCAAGTGTTTTCCTTTAATATATTAGTGTTTTCTGAAAGATAATTTTACGGGGAAACTAAAAAATCCTTAATAAAGACACAAGTTTTACATAACCTAAAAATAATTTTCCTAATGTGAATAACTTAAACTGTACCTTTAAGGTGTCGGTATTTAGGGCATTTACCTTAATTGACTCTCAACTCAAGGGCATTGATTATCATATCAGATATTTGATTTAGGTCTTTCATGGTATGATTTAATTTGATGTTGTTTGAACCGACCATCAAGAGGATCCAGTAATTCTTATTATAAGATTTTAGGAGAGTGCTATTAGAGGCAGTATTTACATCGTACTCCAAAGGCACTCCTGGCATTAAGTGTCCATACACATCAATGAGTCATTGACCACTTTGACCATGGTAGTGGAAATATCCCTTTCCTGACTATCCACCAGAATAACTAAACTGTGTTGTTTATTAGCACTTGAAGATCTAGTTTTAATGTTTAATTTGTTTCTTTGTCTTTTTTAGCGAATTTCCCATATAGGGAATAAGCTATTACCGTAGTACTCATGGTAAGACCTAGACCCGGGATCGATTTACTTTTTTGTTTTGAGGTCCCTAGAGGCCAAAAACACCATCCGTTCAAATTCATATATATATATATTAAATTATGTAGTAAATAAGTACAACTGAGCACCCTAGGGTGCTCAGTTGTACTTATTTACTACAATAATTTAATATATCAGCAGCCCTATTACGTGAACACCTAAATTAAAATATATTATATTTATATATGTGTCCGTTAGCGCGATAACTCGAGCAAAAATCATCCGATTTTGATGAAATTTGGTACACATGCGTAAACCTACATTTATTCAAACGAGTTCGCGAACCAGCATGATCGGACTATGGGAACAGGGGTTTATGGGGGGTTTTAAGGGGTAAAAATTGGTTTTTCCCATTTTTGACCCTAAAAACTTAAAATTTAACATTTTCTTTCCAAAACATTTTGTAGAGCTTAAAAAACAAATAATTTAGTATATTGAAGCGTTATTATGCGCCTAATGGTTACTGAGAAAATTTCAAAAAACTGTAAATTTAAAATTCCCATGTTATTCTTATGGAGAATAAGTAAACTGTTGTAGTTTGCTTGTTTATGAACATATTTTGATCAAATTTGGAAAATGCATTCATTTCATACTAAACTATTAACATTTAAAAAAAAAACGCCTTTTTACCCTCCCTGTTGCAGCAACCTAAGTCCTTGTTAAACTAATGTTATTTAAATAGGGAATAAATTTGATGTTTTTAAGGAGACATTTTAGTGTAAATCCAATCAGGCAAATAGAAATTCGCTTAGTCTGCAGGTTTGCTGCGGCGGGGGTATTTTACTTATGCTAAGACGTGGTTTACTGTTGACTGAAGCTACTGTAAATAAAGAAGTGATATTGGATATTGAAATTAATTATCATGCAATGATTAGTTACAAACCTGAAGAGAAACATCAGTGATCTTGGTGTTGCCAACTTCCTGCCATGGCCCAGTAGTGGTTAGACGACACCGACGCACCCAGCGGCGCCTACGAACATAGTCTGTCAAATGCTTGGTCGCATGGTAGCAACGGGGGAAGTCTACTGCATACTGCCACCCCTCCTTGTCTACTCCTCCAGGAGTACTGAAGTCTATAGACCAGTCTCCCAACTGAGGAACAATGAAAAGTGTCAGCTCCAGTATTGAGTGTTATGAAGCATAGTCTGTCAGCTGCTTTGTTGTATGGTAGCTTTGGGGCAAGGCGTATGAAAGAAGGTGTGTGCATAGTGACGTCAGTGCGAGCAAAACGTGTTTTATTTTACCAAATCATATGTTTTCTTGTAATTTTCCAAAGACTTTCGAATGACAATCATTACGAATTAGCATTGAATATATAACACTATTTAGCGTTTTATATACAATATAGTGTTGTATTCAATATTGAATATAGTCATAGTGTTTAGTGTTATACAGGATATTCAATGGTGGTAGTATATAACATTTTGATAAAACAGTAAAGCAGTAAATACTGTAACTGTGGCTGCCTAGCAGGCAATACATTTTTAGGTGACCATACAAATAGTTTTAACATAATACCTTTTTTGCAGCTCCTACTTTTGTTTTATGTAATTGAAAAACTCTCATTTAAGTAGCCTTAATGGAAAATAAATAGTTACAAATAAATTGACAAGATTGTATTTACATATATTTAACAAAACAGCACAAAACTACATAATAATTGCAGTCACGACTCACGTTGTGTCTTACACAATCGCGGCAGCATCCCCGATTATCTCAGAATCTATGACAATATTTGTGATTGCGGGCATATCTCGGATCATATCTCAATCGCGGCAACAGCCGTGATGATTTCTTGTGATTGCGGTGACGTCCTGTATTCGCAATGGTTTGCTGCGGTTGCGATTTTACACTTCGCAAAACGAGAGAGGCCATTCGGTAAGCGTCTAGTAAATTTTTGAAGTTATTAAGAAAAACCATAGTTCGAGGGGCTTCCCTACGGGCTTAGTAGTTTAGCACTTGGGTATGTCACTAAAGTGTAATAAAGTTTCTAGCCTACAACTTAGGCTATATATTTCGTTTTGTGTTGTTTTTGTTAAATATACGTAAATACAATCTTGTCAATTTATTTGTAACTATTTATTTTTGACTAAGGGTACTTAAATGAGTTTTTCAATTAGGAAAACATAAGTAGAGGCTGCAAAAAAGGTATTATACTAAAAACTATTTGTATATGGTCACTTAAAAATATATTGTCTGTTTGGCAGCCACAGTTACAGTATTTACCGCTTTACTTTTTTCGATTAAAAGGTACTCAAAATCAAAATGTTATATACTACCACCCTAGAATATACTCTAAAACAGTATGACTAGCCTATATTCAATATTGAATACAACACCATATATATCGGATATAAAACGCTAAATAGTGTTATATATTCAATGCTAATTCGTAATGATTGTCATTCGAAGTTCTTTGGAAAATTACAAGAAAACATTTGGTAAAACAATACACGTTTTGCTCGCACTGACGTCACTATGCGCACACCTTCTTTCATTTCATACGCCTTGGCTTTGGGGGAAGTCTTCTGCCACCCATCCTTGTCTATTCCAATAGGAGTACTGAAGTCTACCTGAGAATTAAGCAAAATCTCGGTAGACTGGGACCATTTTGGGCCTTCAGCTATAGGAAAGGGGATTATTTTTTTAAATTAGGTGCTTGGAAACATGTTTTTCCATTATTTTGGAACTTATAAAGAAGAAGGAATTCAGCTAGGTTATTAATGATTTTCCCAAGGAACATGCTATTACCGTAGGTCTCAACTCTCAAGGTAAGACCTCGACCCAGGACAGGACCAATTACTTTTTCGTGACACACCATCCGTTAAAATTCATATACATATACGTTATTCATATACATACATGTTATTCATATACATATATGATATTCATATACATGTAAATTCATATACATATTTTTGTAGAGCTTAAAAAAAAACAAATAATTTAGTATACTGGAGCGTTGTCATGCACTAATGGTTAATGGGAAAAAACTAAAAACTGTACGTTTAAAATTCTTATGTTATTCTTATAAAACAATAAGTAAATTGCTATAGTTTGCTTGATTATGAACATATTTCAATCAAATTTGGAAAATGTTTTATCTATTGACCTTTTGCCAGAAAACACTTTCTTACCTTCCCTGTAGCGTCAAGACAGCTACTCTTTTCATTTTTTGTGCTTATTTTTGAGCCTATATTTTAATTTATAAAGGGATTCTGTACATCTACACGAAAATATCTTTAATTTGGTACCAACCAGTGTTGGGAAGTAGCGCGTTACTTTTTTTGTAGCCTTAGCTGTAGCTACGCTACTTTTAAGATTTTGTAGCTTTAGCTGTAGCTAGCTACATTTTAAAAGTAGTTGTAGCGGAATTTTAGCTACTTCTCTCGTTACATCCCATTTTATCCTAGCGTTACCGTATGGTCACGGTGAACATGCGCTGGAAAAAGTGGAGGGAATTTTAGGTTATGTTTGATTTTGGTTGGTCACACTGATCAGTCCACAGGTAGAGGTCCAGTTTATAACCTCAAACTGTTAGTTGTGTTTAGAACTGTGTGCAAATGTTTTCTTACTGCCTTTACTTATGAACACCAACCAATGGACTTGAATCACCATGTCAATTCGATTTGAGTGAGTACCTACCTATACTATTTCAATGTAGATAAGCCTAAATGTACATGAAACGCAAAAAGTAATACTTACCTGATATTTTGGTGTAGTAATAATGAAATTGTTTAGCTTTTAGCGAATTTCCCTATAGGGAAGTAGCTATTACCGTAGGTGGCACGGTAAGACCTAGACCCGGGACCGATTTACTTTTTCATTTAGATGTCCCCAGAGGCCAAAAACACTATTCGTTCAAATTTTTATATATGTATATAGACTTATATATATATATATACGTCCGTGAACGCGATAACTTGAGTAATTTTTGTCCGATTTTGATGAAATTTGGTTTAAAGGTGTAAAGCGGGATAAACTTGAATGAGTTTGCAAACCAGCACGATCAGACCATGGGAACGGGGCTTTACGGGGGGTTTTAAGGGGTAAAAATTGGTTTTTTTCACTTTTGACCCTCAAAACACAAAAGTTCCCAATTTCTCTTTAGACCTTTTTAAAGAGCTTAAAAAACAAATAATTTAGTATATAAAAGTATTTTTGTTCGATTATTAGTAACGGAGAAAATTAAAAAAATTGTAAATTTAAAATTCCCATGTTATTCTTATGGAGAATATTGTCAAATGTTGTAGTTTGCTTGTTTATGAATATATTTTGATCAAACTTGTCAAATTTATTCATTTTGTACTAAGCTATCAATATTTTACTCAAAAACACACTTTATTAGTTTCCTTGTAGCAACAAACCTAGGTACTTGTTAAACCTAATGTTATTAAAATATATTTAACTGAAAATCAATTCAGACAAATGGAAATTCGCTTAGTCGGCAGGTTTGCTGCGGCGGGGGTATTTGGTGCTTACAATCGAATAATTTCTTTTGATGTTACCATATGGTAACGCTAGGACATTCCACTGCCAACGGTGATTTCTTGGTAATGGATTGTCAATTTATTTTTCTTTTCGTTTCAGACATGGATTTACTCTTCAAGATGCCTTGAACATACTTCAGGAAAATGATGAAGATGGGGGAGACGTAGAGGGAATTTATATAGCCCCTCCAGAGAGTGCAGTTCTTACTAACGAGGACTCTGGTGACGAAGATATAGGGGGGTTGGTGGATAATTTATCCGGGAAACAATTACTAGCTCCTGCGGAGATTAGGTTCAATCGAAATACTAATAGATTGGTGAATGAGAACGAGGAAAATGATGGTGCAAATAATATTGAGGATCAACCTACTGAACAAGAGGTTAGCGTGGATGAAACTGAGAGTTTACGTGTAAGAAATAATCCTACTGAAGGTTTCATTTTGAAAAAAAAAACTGCTATGTTACAGGAAATTAAAGATGAGTATATTCAGGAGTTGGGACAAAAAAGGAATTCGCCAAGAAAAAGAAAAAGTATAAGAATTTGAAACCCCAAAGCAAAAGTTGGGTTGAGGGAGATATAGAGGACAGAAATGCAGCTTTTCCTATTGGCGATTTCTCAAAATATAGGGACTTTTCTGTAAGTGAATTATTTGAGCTTTTTTTGACGATGAAATATTTCATCTCATAGAGGAAGAGACACGCTATGCTCTCTTCAAGAATTGTCCAGACCCAAATATTACTATAAACAATATCAAGCGTTTCTTGGCAATTTTGCTTTACACAGGCTATAAGGTACTACCAGGGAAAAGGTTTTATTGGGATTCCCAGTCGGACCTTCAACAAGGATTTGTATCAAGTGCGATGAGGAGGAACAAGTTTGAAACCATTATGAAATTCCTGCATCTAGCCGACAACACCAACCCTGACCTGCAAGACAAAATGTGGAAGCTTAGGCCTCTGATTGATAAAATCCAAAAGAAAAATTTTGATCATTTTGTGCCAGTATGATGAGAGTATGATTGAATATTTCGGCCGACTTGGATGCAAGCAATGCATAAGGGGAAAACCTATTCGTTTCGGTTATAAAGTGTGGTGCGTTAATTCCCCTAATGGCTATCTAATTAACTTTGACGTATAGGTACCAAGTCAAGTCCTTATAGCAGTACCAACTGATTACCAATTTACTTTTGGAAAATCAGCAGCTCCCCTTTTACATCTACTTGACAGCCTTCCAACAGAAAAATCTGAAGTCCCATACAGAATTTATATTGATAATCTATTTACTAACTTTCGATTATTGAAGTACCTTTTTGGGATTGGATATAGTGGTATAGGAACGATCCGTGAAGACCGCATACCGAAATGTTGCCCAATCAGGAAGAAAAAGGACATGAAGGAAACCGAAAGAGTCTCTTATGAATATGCTTTATGTAAAGATGATGGAATTTTGGTATGTAGCTGGCATGATAATGGAGTAGTTTCCATTGCAAATAACTCATATGGTGTCCAGCCTGTAACTAAAGTAAAACGATACTCTCGAGCACAAAAAAAGCATATTCATGTGGATCGACCGGCAGTTTGTGGTAAATACAATGAGAGCATGGGTGGAACTGATCGTATGGATCAAAATGTTGCTAATTATCGGATTAGTATTCGAAGCAAGAAATGGTACTGGCCCATCCTTACATGGCTGATAGACATCTGTGTTCACAATGCATGGCAGCTGCAAAGAAGAGCTGGAAATTTACAGCCTCAGCTTGATTTTCGTCAAGAACTAGTGACATACATCATAAGATTTGGCGAAGCAAGTAAAGGACCCGGAAGACCTATTACTTCCAAAAGATTGATGTGTTCCAATTAATGTGTTTCGAAAGTATATAATTTACTTACTACTGTCAACACATTTAAGAAAAAAAAGCCATTGCCCATACCCACTGCCAATGCATGGACAAGAGCCGTGTTGTCTCTTTGGATCGTTTGACGCGGCCAGTTGAGTCGCTCCACATGGGTCGGTCTGTAGGGAGACCTCGCGTTGTGAAGCCACTCAGAGGGTTCCATCTCTGGTTCTCATACACGTAACAGTGGTAAGTGTCAGTCATCGGGTGAATCCCCACCATGGTGCGCTCCAGACCTGCATCCAACCAGAGATTGATCGATTGTAAAGAAAATACAAAACAATAATGTATTCTGCAGGTATTATCTTTTGATAGGAGACAACATACTGCATTTAGCACTTTTTATGTTTTCATAATCAACAGATGCAAAATTAAAATTAAAAATACTAAGCTGCCTGAATTTAACTTTCTCCTCCTATACATAGTGCATGGATATAAGTATTGTTTAAGCTTATTTAAAAAGTGAACAAATTTTAAATTAAAATATTGGCATATAATAAAAGATTTAGTGGTACAAGACCTTTCCCAAAACCATTTTCCATGGTTGAATCAGACTTGGACCCTAGGTATCCAGTGTGTGACTCACCAAGCAGTACAGATCCGCCCCATCCACCAGTGTACGCCCAGGGTGTGTTGTCTGCCCCTACTCCCCATGTCACCCCACTCTCTGTGGTTTCAACCCTCTGTAAGTGTCCTCCCATCTGACGCCAGAATATCTCCGACATTGGCACTACAGGCTGTAACAACATACATGTCAACTTACTCAGACATGACATTGTGTTATGTAATTTTAAGAATAGTCATAGTCATAGTCTTTGATATGTTAAAAAGTGTTAGCCCTTATTGCCTCCCAGCAATAACTCATCTGATTAATGTGTCACTAGAGACTGGAGTTTTCTCTGTTCTACCAGTGTTATTTTGTGCAAGTGCTATGTGTCATGTGCGGGTTGCACGTGAGTTAGATATGTGTTCGTGTTCGGTTACATGAGTGTTCAAAAAATGACACCAAACTTGATCGAAGCAACAATCATCAGTGGTAAGTTTAAAGAAGAAATAGTCTTAATCCCAAGAATACCGATGATTTTATCCGGATTACCCTTTGAATTGAAGCGACTACAATTTCCTTTGCGTCTTGCTTTTGCAATCACCATTATAAGGCACAAGGCCAATCCCTGACTATCGCCAATATTTATCGTAAAGATCAAATTACCATTTAACAGAATAGATGTTAGCGCAGCAACGCGCAACATGTAACTGCTAAATATTAAAAAAACAAAAAAACGTTGTAACGAGTTATTTTTCCTAGGGGGGTAAATATTTGCTATTTGACCGCGCACCTATTGCTGGCATCAGCAAGAGGCGGCGGCGGCGAAGCTAGCGAGCGCCCTTTGACCCGGCTTATCAGTGCCGATAAGCCTGGGATATCCTAGTTTCTCAGGACAGTCTAGGACAGAGACATTCGAGTCGTGGATCCCGGACAGTGAGGATAGTTTGGTGTCTTGTGGAGACGACTGTGATACGTCGGTGGTGTACGTAGAGAGGAGTGTACGTGACAGTGGTGTCGGAGTACGTTGGTGGTGTGATCGCGCCGAGTGTTGGTGTAAGTTGGGTACAGACCCACTATTGGTGAGTGGACGACGTTCCTTACATTTTGGTTTAAGAGTTGATAATATTAATATCTGATTTTATTGCGAGAGTTAAGAGTTGTAACCGTGCTGGTCAAAGCCTGACGGTAGTTAGGATTTATATTAGTCAGGAATAATATTAAAGTGTATTCCTGACGGTTCTGGGCAGGTGCTAGAGCGCAAATAATATAATTTAATTGACTGTAGTAGGTTATTATTTTGCGTTGTACCAAGAGTTAGTTATATTACTAATAACTCTGAGGCCCGACAAACCTAGGCTGCACGATTTAGCGTGCGTAGTTGGAAGCACGTGGCCAGTAGGCTAGTAGCTAATATTATTAGCCTATTAACAGAAGCCCAGCTAAGTAACATAAAGTTGGTAGTAGCAGTAGCAGTAGTAGGATTGTTATTGTTTATTCATTTGATTATTTTAATTTATCCTGAACAGCTTGTTTGGTATTCCAACACGTTATCTTGGTAGCTTGGATAGCGGAGTACCGGCTATCAGATAATATATTTATCTAGTGTTTGGAACGTATTTAATATTTATTTATCTGCTACTAAGTAGCTCAATAATTTAATAGTAGTGCAATTGAAATTTAGCTTTGCTTGTTTGGCTTGGTATTTATTGAGACCAGCTACTAGTGGTGTAGTCACTGGTGTAGTCACTAGTGATGCACTTGTATTGTTATCTGGTATTATTATTGAGTGAACTGTTTGATCGTTAGCTTGGGCAATAGAGTTGTGTATTGGATTATAGTGGCCTAGTAGACCCCGCCTGGTGATAACTCGCGTTGTGGTTTTTATTGGCAGGTTGTCGTGTAACTCACCGTGTTTTAGGCACTCTGGGCTTAACTATTGGATAGTTAGGACGAAGCCCGAGTTGCGTAGTCAGCAACGACCCCCTAGGAGTGTGGAGAATCGGCGTAGGCCTGGTAGTGATTATTGCACGTTTGTTTTGGTGACTTGTTTTTGACTTGTTCACAGTGCCCGTGTATGAGCCAGTCCTATACCGGTTAGACCCGGCTTTTGGCCTAGTGGTTTCCCTGACCTTATCGCAGACCCTGGAACTTTACCCGGCCATTGTAGGCTGAGCTATCCCCGGCAAACGGTTGCGACTGCACTTACTTGTAATATATTTTTCCAGTGCAGAAAACAGCGTTGCAACGTTCTAAAAACTATTTGAATATAAGATCATATCAGAGTTCTGAGTCTCACTTAGATGAATCAAAATTTGGTGGTCTATATGATTTTAAGATCCTTGACTCCTTTTACTATCGGATTGACCGTTAATACCCTCTAACGTTGTTTTTATTGCTGACATTATTCCATTCCCGTGGCGGAGCACGGGCGGTTAACTAGTTTGTTTTTACATTTAAACTTTCAATTATTTATATTTATTAAATTTACTTTCTCCAATATTATTATCTCTTTAGATCCATTTATAGCAAAATTTGTTTAATGGATTATCACAAACTAGTGTATTGAAATACTCATTAAGTGTTAAGTTAAAAAGTACAAATAGTATGCTGTCTAAATATCCTTGTCCCATTCAAAAAAAATTTTTTTTAGTTTATACTCAGGGGTGCCCATTCCCCCCTAGACTCATGACGCACCCCCCCCCCCAATTGAGCACTAGCCCCCCCTCCCATAAATGAGGTAAACAACAAATGACAAACATTATTCCCCCGCCCAGCATTTTTGTGTCATATGCTTAAATAATCAGATGATTATTGTTATTTTTATCTGTTACTAGTGTCCCTGTTGCTCGAATTCGAGCAATTGCTAAGTATTACAGGCGTTGTTTTAAAACGAATTTCAACCAAGTCAGAAAGTTTGCAGCAAACTTTTAAATTAGCAAACTTATTGACTTTTTTTTACAATTAACATATGCTCTTCTTCTCACTTTTGATTTCTGACAACAGCAGGAGTTTCATAACAATTTTTGTTTCCAATGTTAATCTTATGGGGAAATACAAAACTTTAAAGGGCTCCATGGCCTCACTCTCTCATTATTTCCCTAAAAAGAAAGTTTCCTGCACAACTTCAAGTTACCCTCTTTCCAATGACACCAAAAACATGTCAATCGGTTCAGTAGTTTCGGAGGAGTAATTGTCACAAAAAACCTGCTTCCATATTAAATAAGTATAGATTGTTTACATTTATTTTTTGTGTTGAATTAGTTCTACAATAAAGTTTACCAATTAATTTACGTGTATTTTGTGTATTTTATGAAGATATATCAATGGCGACGAGTGATAAAAGTGAAAATGAAACTAGAAAATTAAAACAACAAAGAGGAATCATAAAGTCTCAAATTACAAGGACTTTACATGTGCTGAACACCAAAGGTTCGTCTATATACGATGCTTTGGGCAGACAAACTCTACTGGATGAAACGTGGAAAAGATTCACTTTGTTACATGAAGAGATTATAACAACTACAGACGATGAAGATGAAATTGAAAGAGAAGAAGATTACCGTACAGATGTAGAGGAAACATACCTCGAGGCAAGAGCTTTATTACAACCATTCTTTGTCACTATTAAGCAAACAGGAGTAGAGAGGAATGACTCTAGTGATGAAAATAATCCGCATAAGTTGAACATACCGAATGTGAGTTTCACACCCTACACAGAAAATGAAACCTTTCGGAATTTCCTAATGCGGTTTACAAATTTCTTGGACCTAAAACAAATCACAGAGTCCAAAACCAAAACACAACTGTTTCTTAGTACTCTTACACCCGAAATGCATCAGGCATTATGTGACGCGATTGCTCCCGAGGCACCAGGTGACAGATCGTTTGAAGAACTTTCAGATATACTGCAAAACTGTTTGGAACCTACTCCAAGTGTACTTGCTAACCAAAATAGGTTCATCAGTAAAGTTCAAGATACTGAAGAGGGAATTTCTACGTAAGCTCGAGAACTAAAACGTTTGGCAATTGACTGTGATTTTAAGTGTTACAACTGTGAACGTTCAGTTTGTGATATGTTCTTGAAGATGCAATTCATAAGCGGATTAAGAGATAATGAAGTGAGAGTTAGGCTTCTTCAAGAAAAAGGAAATACACTATCATTTAAAGAAGTGGTAGAAATGGCCATTTCTATTGAACAGTCTAAACTGGAAAGTTATGCAATAAAACCTAAGTACTCTCATTACGTTACAGAACAAACTAAGGATGTTAACTATGTGAGTAAACAATCTAGGTTAACAAGAAAGAGTAGAAATGAAGAAATCAAACCGCATATTACCTTTCAAGATTTAAGAGGTAAATGTTACAGATGTGGCAGTACTCAACATAAAGCTGATACTTGCAAATTTAAAAATGAATTTTGTAGGAAGTGTAACAAGATTGGACACATTGCGAATGTTTGTCTCACACGCAACAGGGTTAGCAATGCAAGCGAGAACGCTTACAAGTTAAAATCAAATAAAATTGATGTTGAAGATGATAATGACAACGTTCATGAGGTTTACATGATGGGGACACCAAATGTGAATGACAAGTTTATAATTAACGTTTCTATTGAAGGCAAGTCATTGAACATGGAACTTGATACTGGAGCGGCTTTGAGCTCATTATCATACAGTGATTTTCTTAAACTTGAACTTAATAAACGTCTATTCAAGACGGAAGTGGAAATGAGAACATACACTGGAGAAATTATAAGGCCTGTGGGAGTCTGTTTTGTTGAGTGCAAGTACAAAAATTTCAGTTTTCATGGGAAGCTCTATGTTTTAAAACAAAATGTAGACCCAATTTTTGGACGTGAGTGGCTCCGAGAAGTCAAGATGGATTGGGCTGACATAAAACTTACGGATACTAACACATCAGAGGAACTTGATAAACTCCTAACAAACTTTCAAGACATTTTCAAGGCAGAAATTGGTGAAATAAATTCAGAGCAAGGACATATACAGCTAAAGGAAGGGGCAAAACCAATTTTCGTCAAACCATGACAAGTACCTTATGCTCTAAGGAAAGCTGTTGAAGATGAGCTACATCGACTAGAGAGCAGTGGTATAATCTCTAAAGTTGAAAACTCACAATGGGGAACACCAATTGTTCCCGTAAAAAAGCCTAATGGAAGTGTAAGGCTCTGCG